TTTTTCCAGGCTTCTTCTTTCCAGTTGCTTAAATTGGAAAATTTACTGCGATGATCATACTTCACTTTCAAACTGCGTTTCCTTTACCATTTAAAGAAACCGGGAGTGCGCCCGATATATATTGGAAGTTACCCTATCAGCGCGTGCGCAATTTACACTACCAGCACACTTCGGTAGGATCAAACAAAGCGACACGGAGTTAGTTTTTCTCTTTCTTTTGCTCTTGTTTTTCTGTTTTTCTCTTGTTTTGTATTTTGTTTTTGCTTGTACTTTCTTTATTATTCATTTGTGAAACGCAGAGAAAAACATCTAAAATTTGAGCGAGTTTGTAAATTTTTGAGTTGTTTTACATTTACATACATTAACATCGGCGTCTGCGAACACATCTACACCCGGTTGTCACTTTTAAACCCAGGTACCCAGCGGGAATTGGTGTGGGTGGATTCATTGGCGTGATAGGTTGTCTCTTGCGAGTTTGGTTTTCGACCACTGGTATTGTTGTATGTTTGCTGGGAGGTTTTATTGGCAGCGGGATTTTCAAGTGCAGAGAACGGTTCTGGGAAGACCAGAGCGAGTGAGGAGCGGATGTTCGCTGTACTCAGTGGAAGTGGAATTTTAAGAGACAAAGAGCAATGAAATAACAATATAATCAGAGCCTACAGATGAAAATCATTAATGGAAACATTTATGGTGGTTTGCAGATGAATCTGAGGCGCCTCGAGTAGTTTAGGCATCACATACTGTCTGGCTGATTTCTTCTTTTATCCAGCTAATCACTGCACTGCATTGCATGGACTATTTAATTAATGACTGTAGTACTGAAGTTTGATATGTTATAAACAACTTGGAGAATCTTTGAAAACCTGGAAAACAACTTTTGATGCATTGTCACTGTTCACCAAACTACACATCAAAAACACTATGCATTTCTTTTTACAGGATATAAAGGTTATATGTCAGAAATGTAAGAGTGGCGAATGTTAAATGCGAGACTTAGTTTAATCGCGGTTTTGAACAACCGGACCCTCGGTTGATAGAGGCACCATGAGAGTAAAGTGTCCTGCCCGAGACAACACAATGTCCCCGGCCAGGGCTCGAACCCGGACCGCTCGATCCGGAGACGAGGGCACTAATTATGAGGCCACCGCATAACAACTGTAATCTGATTTTCAATTTCTAAGTAAAACTCCGTGGGACTAAGGTTGAGCATGTAACTTCGAGTTTCGGCGACTACAGTTTAATTTACCATTTAATGTTCTAATCAAAGGTAAAAGTCATTTTGTTGAACGGCCCGAGTATTTTGATCAAGGAAGGAGCTCGAGCTAGACGACAATTTCAGAAAATAAAACAATTCCCCTTTCGTAAGCTTGGACCATCTGTGCAAAAAATTAAAACCTGTAAAACGGTTATAATTATAGCGGAGCTCCGGCGGCCCGAAGGGCCGCCAAGCGGAGCCCTATACTCATACAGGAGAGAAAAGGAAACCCATGAGTTGATTTTCTCATGGTTATCATGGCTAGCGGTATTGCTCGTGGGCGCGTACACACGACGGCGACGACGACGACGA